AAACCATAAAGTTCACTTTTTTCATTTCGATTTTCTTGCTTTATGTAGAACATATCAAAAATCTGATACCATAATCGGAAAAATGAGAAAATTTTCTGTCGAACAACGTAATCAATTAATTTTTTTAGATGAGGTTTGATACTCTTTAGGCGACTTTTAAATTGAGTACGTAGTCGTATTTATGAGAAAACATGATGGTCCTTTCGTCTGTCCACATTCGTCCTCTAAATCACCAAAGTAGCAATAGAAAAACACTATCAAAATGTCGACTATTCTTACGTTTTTACACGTTCCTGCGACCTCATAAACATTTCCCGGCGGTCCGCATCCGTGTAGGGGGAAAAAAAATTTGTCTAGAATATAACTCCAAAATAGTATATTTTGTAACAAGTGCGCGAAGCAGTTGACTCATCCAGGAGTTGTTTTCATCCGAGCGTAGCGAGGGTGCAAAGACTCCTGGGTGAGTCAACTTCCTCGCGGACTAGTTGCAAACGATATTTTTTAACTCTGCTTGCGAGAAACTAGGGTTTTCTGACGCTTTAAGGTTAGAAAACCCGTGTTTCGCGAACGCAGTGTTAAAAAGGCGTTTTTAATGAATTCCTCATACACGTCTATATATTTTCTGTCATTAAAAAAATTCCCGTAATTTGCCACAAAAAAAATTGAATGGAATTAAAAAAATTGAATTGCTGTTGATAAGCTTCAAACGAATCAATATAACATATTTGCAAACATCTGAATTGAATTTATGTAAAATTTCGATACACCGTTGGCCCCAATAACGAAATAGTTCATAACTTGCGTTAATATAATATGCACAGATACATGCATAACTTATATGGTACATGCCAGCGAGTCATAAACAAGCAGCTGGGCATCGAATTCAGACTCATTTGTGTACTTGCGCGGGCAACACGCAGAAAGAAGTTTGAGTTTGTCATCCGTGCATATGCATCAGTCGACAATTCAATTCGGAGATTATGATAAGCTCTTTGGAAACGAATTCAAACCTGACGATATCTACGCATTGTTTATGTCGAAACTTTTGTGCTTTGCTATTTCAGTAGGATATTGGATAGCCTAGTTTTAATTGCTGCTTTAGTGAAACAGAAAGTCTTATTACGGACGTCTGAGTGCATTCAACGATGTAAACTAGTGTATATTAATTGCAAATGACTCAAGGATCCCACGTCAAGCAGACAATGATTTCTGAAGCTATAAATAAGATAAATCAACGAATCGACAGTGCTAGAATCATTAACTCTGAACAGCTTTGCAGATTATGGAGCAGTTAATTATATCCTGCTGGTTTAAATAAAGTTTGTTAAAACTTACGTATTTCCTACAAGATAATATATTCAGAATTGAAACTCGAAAAAAATGCGAGTACCTGAAAAAACTCGAGTACTCGACTCGAACTCGAGGAAAAAACTCGAGTTCGACGAGTCGAGTTATTTCGAGTACTCGCACAGCCTTAATTTCAACTTTAACTGTCAATGTAAAAAAGCTGCTTTAGCAGCATTTACTCCTAGTCCACGAACATTAAAATAATCTGTGAATCGATCTTTTTCTTATGAGAATGAACATGTGAAAGTGTGTCTCGCCGTACGAATGACTCTTTGCCTCTCCCCACTATCCGACACCAGATGGCTTGACCGTCTACGCTTTCGGGTATGAAAGATTCGAAATATAAACGTTAGTCTCACAGTGTTTAGATCTTGCGACGTAACAACAAGGCAGCTTAAATATCTCGTTGACAATATGGCTTCAAATCAAGAAAACTCTAGCAAGGTAAGTTTTTCATTCTGACGTCGTATGTGTTGTGCGTGTATGTGTTGTAACGTGTGTAGAGAATTGTTTCGAAATCAGATAGAATAAAGGTCTGAGCCATGAAAAAAGAAAGCCCCAGAGCCCGTGCTTTACAGACTCGGATACGAATTACACGTCCTTTGAAATTTTGTATTTTTCAATTTCTGATAACGCGATCGAGTTAATTTATTTTTATTGTATACTAATTCATACTTATTGTATACGTAGTATAGAAATGAGTCTAACTAGATATTAATTATTATCAAATACTACCAGTTAATAACTATCAGTTCTATTCCGAAACAAAATTTAAATATTTATTTAAATATCTATCGTTTATTCTGATTTGTTTACAAGAATTTTTATTGTTGTTCAGTTTACAAAGTGTATAGGTAGTGAAAATAGAATAATATTACTAACTTTATTGCTACAATCAATGGAATAAATGTAAACCATTTGACTAATATCTTTTTTAATTTTATTACAGGGGCCAATCCTGCATTTGCAAAGTTCTGACGAAGTCGTTTTTGACGTGGAGTTAGCAATCGCTAAGCGCTCAATAATGATAAAAACATTGGTTGAAAGTTTAGGCGAAGATAACTTGGATGAAGTTCTTTCTCTACCATATCTTAAGTCTGATATTCTGGGAAAGGTTATTGAATTCGCTACTCATCATAAAAATGATCCCATGCCAAACGAATATGGCAAGAATGAAAAAACTCGAATGACAGAATGGGATCAAACATTTCTAGAGGTATTTAAGCAATATTAAGTTTGAATATTATTTTTATTGGAATTCAGTTGAACATTTTAACTTAAAATTCAAATATAAAATCGCATGAGCAAAAATTATACCTTTGTTTGCTTTGCTGAATACTGTCATCAATACAACATCTATACCGGCTTATCCCGTAAAGTTACTCGTGGACCATGATTGAATTTAATAACTTGAATTATCGAAATAAGCTTAAAATCTCAATTGTTTACAAAAATTATATGTACTACTCAACAAATCAGAAAAATTTTTATAATATTTTTGAATAATGTTACAGGTTGATTTGGACACTCTTTTTAAACTTACTTTAGCAGCCAATTATTTAGATATGAAAGATTTGTTAGATTTGGTAACCCAAGCAATAAGCCGACATTATGCAGCAAAATCAGTAGACGAACTGAAAAAGACTAAAGAAATATTGATGCCAAAGTAGAGAAGCTCATTCACCTTCTGCTTCTGATGATGTCAATGCCTTTTTTCAAAATTTGATGAAATAGTTTTAATTAAATAAGAGACCTAGTTATAAATACTTATTGTTTATAATAAAAATTACTAAATAAAGCAGATATTCAACTATAAAATAACAAAATTTAATTAACACTACCACTTTCACCTCACTCGCTAAGCTCGCTTGGTATTTTAGATGTTTTTTAAGAAATATCTGATTTCGTTTTAAAAGAAAAAAAGTACTATAATATTTTTGCATATTATACAGGGTGTCACAAAAATATGAAAACCTCCTAAAAGGACGTGGAGGAAAAAAATTTAAAACCTCATATCCGACGCATTTTTTAATGGGGAATCTGATAGTCAAATGGGGCATCATCATCACCAGAGAGATCATCACCATCAGAGTGCTAGTCAACAACACGCTGATCGCGGAATCATCGGATTCAAGAGCTGTCCTGGTGTGTGATTCGTGCCAGGCTGGGCACTGGCTGCATCGATGTCACAGATTTATCGCCATGAATCAGCAGCAGCGCTTTGATGTCTGCAAAAATAAGCGCCTGTGCTTGAATTGCCTGCACAAATCGCACGTCGTCGATAGATGCCCATCTCAATCGCGGTGTTTGGTGTGCAAAGGCAAACATCGCACGAAGCTTCACACCGATGGAAACAGGAATACCCGCTCAAGATGATCAAGCAACATCGAGGAACAGCATGATGACGGACGGGATTCAGCAGCGGGCAATTGCGAGCTGCGCACGGTTAATGCGCACGCGATAACGACCGATGCTGAGGTCTTGCTGGCTACAGCGATGATACTGGTGGTGGCTGCGGATGGCCGAGCATCGCCCGTTCGAGCTCTGATCGACCCGTACTCGGAGAGGACGTTCATAACTTGGCGAATTGCACAGCAATTGAACTTGAAGATTACCCGCATACAACCGCTGAACGTCGTTGGCCTGGGCGCCGCCACATCGTCAAGGACGCACTCCGAGATGCATTGCAGGGTCAGGTCGGCTCGGCACCCGGACTTCGCTGTGGATCTGCAGATGCTCGTCATGACGGATTTGACGCAGTGCTTGCCGCAAAATAAGCTTTCGCTTGAAGTGTGGCCGCACGCGAGGAGTCTGAGGCTGGGCCGATCCAAGGTTTGCCCAGCCGGCAAAGGTCGATTGCGTACTCGGCGCAGACCCATATTCATCTATCATCTTGAATGGATTGGTCAAAGGACCTGTCGGCACACCCGTAGCTCAGGACACTGTGTTCGGGATGGATTCTGACGGGACGGGCGCTACCGGGTGAGACAAAATTCTCCAACTTGGCCATAAGGACTTTCCATACATGTACTGAGCCGGCGATCTCAGCGCAGGTAGCAAAGCTTTGGGAGCTTGACAACGTCGACAGCGCGACGCATTTTTCTCAGGAGGATAAGCGCTGCGAGGAGCAATTTCAAATTTCATCAATCATTTTATGTATATTAAATTTTCATTTTAAATTATAATAAAGATATAAGTCACATTCCGAAAAGTAAGGCGAATCCGTTAAAAAAAGGATGAGGCATAAAATATTTTGAGTAGAGACGATGTAATTATCAGATATTATTGTTGTTGAATGATTATTATTAATTATTAATTATAATTATATATATTACAATTATTTATTTCATAATTATATAATGTTTGACGTCGAATATATTCTTGAAATAAAGGCAATACGTTTGAAATTTTTCCATTTAATGTTGGTTTATTAAAAAATTAATTAGTGAGTTGATAATTATCAATAATCGTTATTTCCTTACATTATTTAAACTTTTACAATTGGCCATTAAATTGGGTAACAATTATGTATGTACATGTTAAAATCTGTTATTACAAACGATCGTGTGCTTATCAATAAAAAATAATCGAAATGAATCTTGTTAAAATTTTCAAGAACAATTTTGCCGGCCAATCATTGCTTATCTCTTTGTTTAAATAATGCGTGGACGAAAAAATTCCTCAGACGACGGTGCTGATAACCGTAGTGTCCGAACTGCCCCGTCGACCTGTACCGTTTGAGGTTGATACAAGGTGAGACCACTCAGTATATCCAGCAGGTCGCGGCACTCGTCGTGATTTCGACTCATCATGAGCAGGGGCGTGTCTCCCTCGTTATTGGCCTGAAGCGCGTCGCCGCCGCTCCTCAGCAGGAGCTCGGCCATGGCCTTGTCGTTGTGTTGCAGAGCCAAGTGCAGCGGAGTGTCGCCGCGCTCGTCCCGAGCATTGACCTGCATCAGCTGGCGTCTGTCGTTGAGGACCTCGAAGAAGGCGTCGATCAGCTCTCCGTCGCACTGCTGCCTGCAGAGGATGTGCAGGCAATTGCCGCCGCCGGCGCCGGCCAGATTCGGATCCACGCCGCGCTTCAGCAGAAGATCGACCACTCGCTTTAGTCCCCGTTGCAGGAAGTAGTGCAGGGGTGTGTTGCCTTTATTGTCCCGGACGTCGACCTTCATCGACAGATACATCTCGTCCGCCGCGACGCCGAAGAACAGCTCCGCCGGGTTGCCGTAGCGGTCCCGCCTCGAGATAACGTGCAGCGGAACCATCTGGGCGCCGTTGACGAAATTGGGGTTCGCGCCGTGCTTCAACAGCAACTCGACCATCTTTGCGTTGCCATAGTGCAGGGCCAGGTGAAACGGTGTGTTTCCGAATTCGTCCCAAGCGTCGACTCGCACGGTGACGCCGCCGTACAACAACGTCTGCGCCAAGACCGTATCGCATTCCCGATTCTGACTGAGCACGTGCATAGCCGTGAATCCGTCTCTGCTGGTCGCGGTTGGATCGGCGTGACCTCGACTCAAGAGCAATTCGGCCGTTTTCCAGTGGCCGTGGTGCAGAGCCAAGTGCAGCGGTGGGTCTACCGTTTGTAACGGTCGAAAATTTCGGACTCTGTCCAGCCTCGATGAATCGCTCGATGAATTAAAATGTTATACGCGCAAATTTCGAGACGCGCAACACTGAGAACCGCGAGATCGCGCTGATAATGGCTTGACAGCAGAGATCGGAGAACAAGGTAACAGAAACTCGCTCGTAAAAGCTATTTATTTGACTGAAAATATAAATGAATATGAGGTTTCGATAGAAAATTTTCTCCGCTTTCTCATGGTGCAGTTAGATTTTTCGATAATTTTTAATTTTCACAAGGAAAAATCAAAAATAAACCATAAAGTTTACTTTTTTCATACTGAGATTTTCCCTTTATTTAGCGGGGCATGTTAAATGGCGATTATCTTGGTTTAATGTAGAACATATCAAAAATCTGATACAATAATCGAAAAAATGAGAAAATTTTTTGTCGAACAACGTAATCAATTGCTTTTTTTAGATGAGGTTTGATACTCGTTAGGCGACTTATAAATTGAGTACGTAGTCGTATTTATAAGAAAACATGATGGTCCTTTCGTCTGTCCACATTCGTCCTCTAAATCACCAAAGTAGCAATAGAAAAACACTATCAAAATGTCGACTATTCTTACGTTCTTACACGTTCCTGCGACCTCATAAACATTTCACGGCGGTCCGCATCCGTGCTGGGACCGTGTTGGGAAAATTATCGTGGGTGAGGTGACTATTCCGCGCCTCGGCAATGAACCGCATGCTGCTGAATAAAGTCACGGTCGTGAAAAGGAAGATGTAAATTAATTGGAAAGTACATACTTTTCTTGAATTCCTTGATTGATTTCCTCTTATTTTTTTGTTCTTTTTATATCCAGAAATACGGTCGGCGGGCCTGGCTGGAGTGGGATGGAGGAACTAGGAGATACTGGAAAATTTGAATGTTTTAATGAAAGAGGCTGAAAAAGTATGATTGTTAATGATAAGAGGATTGGAAATTAGAAATGATGGAAAAATTAACTTTCCAACGATATCTCATGGTACATTGTTTACATCAAAATGGTTGATATTACAGTAATAACAAACAATTATTCGCACGTAACAATGATGTAAGAATAATTAACTATGAATTTGAATAAAATTTTGATGTAGTGAATAGCTGTGATTCAAATTTGTTTAACATAAATTTAATATAAAGTTTAACTGATAACAATGAGTAGCTCTGTCGAACGGTGACGGAGACACGGCAAATAATGTTCTAGTCACTTTATTATTAATTCAACGTTCATGTACCATTTAATATTTAAACAACGATTTTATTATTATTTTACGATGGGACATTATGATAGAGTTTGAATGGATGGTTAATAAGTAGACAAAATAAGTAATCTAATCGAAGTAGCTTATCATAATCGGCTGCTGCGGTGGTTTTTGGTAACGCATCGGATCGAGCTTTGAACCGATCGATTTGGTTTAAACACTATATTTTTACAAATACTATACTGAGAATATATAATAATTTGTTTATTAAGTATACCCGAAAAAACATTGGTGATTGAGAAAGAAGTAGAAGAATCTAGAAGATTCTTATGACGTCAGTTAATGAAAAGTCTGAATACATGGCTCGGAGTGAAAGATGTGAAAAGCAATGAAAGGTCCCGAAATAGATGTAACGGTCGTTTGGGTGTGTAAGTAAGTTGCCTCTCCCCACTATCCGACACCAGTTGACGCAGACCGTCTACGCTTTCGGGTATGAAAGATTCGAAAAATAAACGTTAGTCTCACAGTGTTTGGATCTTTCGACGTAGCAACAAGACAGCTTAAATATCTCGTTGACAATATGGCTTCAAATCAAGAAAACTCTGGCGAGGTAAGTTTTTAATTCAGACGTCGTAAGACAATTAGGTTAACATATTCGTCAACTAGTTTAAATTCCCAACCACTGCGTGTATATGTTGTAACGCGTGTAGAGCATTATTTCGAAATCAAATAGACACAAGGTCTGAGCCATGAAAAAAGAAAGCCCCAGAGCCCGTGCTTTACAGACTCGGACACGAATTACAAGTCCTTTGAAAATATTTTGTTTTTCATGGCCTAGAGCAGCAATTTGCTATTGCCAATAACTTTACCGTTTCTGTTCCGATTGTTGCGTGGCTTTATCCGTTGAACATCTGCTCTCACTCAAGTATTGGATCGATCGTACTTTCGAAATGAATGTGCTGTGATTGGTCTTTGTATTTGGGTAGGCGGCACCCAATGCATCGAAGGCGTATTTTTTAAATTTCTGAAAACTTTATCGAGTTAAATTATTTTTATTGTATAGTTATTCATACTTATTGTATACGTAGTGTAGAAATGAGTCTAACTAGATATCATTTATTACCAAATACTACCACTTAATAACTATCAGTTCTATTTCGAAACAAAATTTAAATATTTATCATCTATTTTGATTTTTTTGACAAGAACTTTTATTGTTGTTCAGTTTACAAAGTGTATAGGTAGTAAAAATAGAATAATATTACTAACTCTATTGCTACAATCAATGAAATAAATGTAAACCATTTGACTAATATCTTTTTGAATTTTATTACAGGGGCCACTCCTGCATTTGCAATGTTCAGACGGAGTCGTTCTTGACGTGGAGTTAGCAATCGCTAAGCGCTCATATATGATAAAAACAATGATTGAAAGTTTAGGCGAAGATGAATTGGATGAAGTTCTTCCTCTAATGAAAATTAAGTCTGATACTCTGAAAAAGGTTATTGAATTCGCTACTCATCATAAAAATGATCCCATACCAAAAGGAGATGGCACGGATGAAAAACCTCAAATGACAGAATGGGA